TTGATGGTAGGTAGGTACTTAGTTCAAAAGTGGAATCTCGTAAAATCCGTCAACAAAAGGGATTAGCACGATATTATAAGCTCTCACATGCGTATTTATTGTGTTATTTTTTTGTCATCTGGACTCGAGCAGACGTTTCGTTTATTATCACCTCGTCACGTCGTGTGTCTATTTTTTTCTTCTTCTCACGGCTGCCGTTTCTTGTCTTTGGAGTTTTAAATAATAATTATGACTACGTGCTGACAAATCATTAGTCAATTATATAATTATAATAATAATAATAATAACAATATATTTATAGATGTAAATGTTTATATCTATGGACATGGCGAAACCGCCTTACTATAAAATATTAAACGATATAGTGTCCACAATACTCATGAATGACGAGATTAATATTTTTTCTATAGCCTCCTATCCCGTTTTCCAATCGTAGAACCAATTTTATATTGTACTGATTAATTATCCATTAAACTGAGTGCGCAGAGAGTCAAATTTCGCGTGAAAGTATAATATAATGTGGTAGGTACCCAAGCAGGGTATGTCAATTACGACGAGGTTCGTACTTCGTTTGTTATTTGATATAATTGTTGTTTTATTTTTTTTTTCGTCGCCGTCACAAAACGAGTTTCCTTCGGCGGTTATGGAACCATATACATTATTATATACACATAGGTACATGTATTTATATTATATATATAGACATAGGTATATCCATGTATTATATATATATATATATATATATATATATATATAATAGATTCAACGTTGGTACCTACTACTACCATTTTTATTATTATTATTATTTTTTTTTTTATTCTGATTGTAATTCAATATGCAACGAGATGAGAATAACCACGTGTCCATCAAATGTGTGTACGGCGATCATCGGTCACATCGGCCGATTGCACGTAAAAAAGCAGACATAAAAAAAACTGTTTAGAATTATACGCAATTACTGCGACAGTTTTCCTCATATTTTATTCTTTCCTAGAACATAATAATATATATAATAATAATATACCAAGTTGTGCGATTTGACACAATTTTTCAAGCAATATACCATGATACACCGCATACCGCGTACTATACCGTCCGATATAAATAAATATTTATTCGATTTGGTACACACATTATTAAAACACTATACATTATACCGGATATTGTGGTCTTATAATTTTTGTACACACTGATTCACTTACATGGCTAATATATTATGCACTCATTTTCTGAAACAATTTTTGTTCATAGAAATAAAATGTTAATTGCTATATATAGGTAATACAGGTATATCCCGTATAGGTATAGTTTATTATATTTATAAAAGTTCATTTTTTCAAAAACTTTTGTTTTTACTGTTTTTTCTCATAATAATATTATGTGAGCTATTGGTTTAGGTACTAGTTTATTTTTATGGCAATAGATAGTTATATATATTTTCAATTAAAAAATGTAGATGAATGGGTGTAATGGACTACACATTTTGTAGTCATGCGATGAGTCTATCACTATTTTGCATCAATCATCTTAACTTTAATTGGTTATTTATAAATCAACATAAAAAAAATAATATAATTGCTTCTGATCGTGAAATTACATATAGGTTGTCCTTAAACAATAACTATTAGACGACTAAAAAACATTAATATCATAAACAATAATAGTCGCAGAATATTCCTCGTTTAGATATACTTCAAAGCTCAAACTACGAGTTTATAAAAACATTTCGTGTTTTTTTTTTTTCAAAAACCCAGAAATATTGACTTGGTAGTCACTAAACGGACCTCCTTGTGTGCACAATTATAATACTGGAAGGCTTTTCGCGTGTATAATATGACAAAAACATACCTATTATATAGTGCCTATACCTATATTGTGTATAAGCGCCGAACACAAACTCACGAGAAGATCGATTTTCACGCTATTCCGCGGCGCGGCGGTGTTTTGGATACAACCGAACGATTTTAATAATATTATCCACAAACATAAAAACAAAATTAACATATATATATGTACGGCGGCGTGCGAATCGCAGAAAACCAATTTCCATCACATAGGTCAACCGCGATAACTACGAGAGTATTATATGCTAGGCATATCCGGCGGATAATAAATGCACACAAACATAATATATATTATTATATCAAAGAAAAAAATACGAGCAGTGTCTATATACACGCCTATAATAACGTATATTAATAGATATTCGATTCAGTGTACTTGGACACGTCGACTATGCAGCACAGTAATCTTATGTATATACGAAAACAACGAATACAAAAACCATCGGACCATCTCGTTAAATAGATGATATACGTAGGTATAAATATAATATCATAATATACCTAGTTAAATAATAGGCAACTACCTATGTATATTGTTTAATAATCGCGCTCGTTTAAAATGGAACAAACGAACCGAAACGAAACGGTTACTCCTCCGCACCGATGCGAGAGTACCTATACCTAGTATACCATACTGTATACCTAATACCTATACAGATATTTGTTATTACTTATTTGTTCGGCGAAATAATATATTATGTTTAAGAGGTAGGTATTTTTTTTTCACTCCTGAAATTAATACGGTTTTACAACAGGATTTTGAATCGAAGAAGGCACGTTTCATTGCGGCTTAACGGCAATATACTATGCAGTATAGGTTTACGACACTCAATGCTGTATAATATACTATATATTAAACGATAATAACTTCATCGATTTTTGTCGAATTATAATATTATAAAAAATACATAGGTATACATAGGTACTATAGGTATTAAATGTATTAATAAACCGTGTTAAATAATTATTAAATTATGTAATGTTTAATTTAAAAAAAAAAAGAAAAGAATAAAATAGGTACCTGCAACAGTGTAAATTATACAAATTTAACATTTAAAAGATAAATGAGAAATGAGTTGTATGAAAAAAAACTTGTTATTCTGTATAGACACATATGTTTTAATAATTTTGATTAAAGAAAAAAACCATAACGATCAACACAAATAATCATTATGCAATTATATGATTATTATTTTTAAGTATTTTTTTTTTATGTCAATGATTAATATGAACTAATAGATACGGTATTTTTTTTTATAATATTGCAAACATAATAAACATCAAGCGCTTTAAATTGTGATTTACTTATAGTGATAACTTTTCGTGAAAGAAAAATCTCCAATAATTTTACTTTAAAGTCATTAAATAAGTAATTTAAACTATTTAAAAGCTTCAGTGCATCGCACAAACAATTTTAGTTTATGAATGTATGTATTTGTCTTTCATTTTTTATAATGGGGTTTGTTTAGTCCGTCATAAATTTTTGCAGTACTAAAATCCTTAAACTTTGAGTGTTGTGTTTGGAAGAAAATTGGCTCTAGTTGGTACACTGGCATGGAGGAACAAAAGTTAAAACCCCCGGTGACCTCCTGCATAGAGTATATACTTTCCTAATCGTGAAAAACAAAAAACAAAATTTCGGAAAAACTGTAATATTTATTACCTACTCAACACCAGTTTTCGAAAAACTATTTTATTATTTCGTTGTAATTCGAAAAAGAATACTGCAGTATATTTTACAAAATTATAGATGACACTTGAAATATTTATATCAAAATCGTATATTAGGGTAATATTCTATATACCGTATAATATATATATATATATGATATTAATATAGAATATTTTCTTTGAGCTTTTTTTAGACGTTTGAAATGTTCGACTTAATTTATGTAGTGTTTTTCGATTTATGTTTTCTTCTATTTTTATCGTGTGATGTATTATATGAATATATCAATTAGGTAGTAATAACATAATACACAACGCGTGTTCAGTGTACATATTTTATTATTTTCCCTCTAATATAAAAAAAAAAAATGGATTCATTAGTTGTGATTTGGGAAGGATTAACTGCTGCAGTTGTTATGTCAGATACAATTTTTAGAATTCATAAAAAACGCCGCTCCTTACATGGAGCCGATTATAAAAGAAACGAAGAATTTCATCACGTCGTATACGAACTGCCAGACGGGCGCCTCCTCTCCTTTCTTCTTTCGACAAAAACAAATTGTAAACGAAAGTTTGTTTACATCGATATAGGATTCATAGTGCGAGCAATAATTACTAAAAATTAAACACGGTATTTTACTTAGGAGCAATTAAAAAAAAAAAACAGAGAAAAATGGAAATACGCGAGTGTGTCATATTATATTATGTTATGCTCCCGTTTATACATCGTATTAATAATGATACTATTTAACGTTAATTGCTTTATATCATATGTATTTAATTGTTTTTGTATCACACAAAGATACCTATATATATATTATTATCATAATAATTAGATATATCTCCTCAATGAAAATTGCATTGTGAAATTGTGCGTCACAAAAGTAAGAGGGAATATTGTTATATTCATAACTTCCATAATAATATATATCGTTTAATAATATATTTTATACATAAACATTTTTTTTTATATAAAATAATTCGAATATACGATACGAGTGAAACATTTATATATGGAGGATTACAGCGCCAGAAAGAATAGCAAGTTTATATATTATATCAATAATATAATAACTACCGTCTGCAGAGACCGACATATTTGAAATATTGACGTCTAATACGAAAAACGTTATCCTTGGCATTGCAGCACCATAGTCGCTGTGATCGACTTGTCCTACCTTATTTAGATGTCTGCGTGAAAAAATAATATTATATTGTTATGTCTACAACGCTAGTATTATTAGTATTATCAAATCGATTGTATAGTAATATACCTATTTGTGATGTACGAAATTAAAAATAAAACTTTTAAAAATTAGAAAACCAAATAGGTATGACACAACGGTTGATCATAATACGCACTTCTAGTCTAATATTGACAATAAGATGTGTAAATCGTATAAATGTTTAATTTAGGAAATTAGGATTGTCGTATACGCCACGCAAAGGCTTGACGTATATAACAGATATATTTCGGTTTCCGATTCTCTAACCGTCGAACGTGACGTAACTCGTAGTTGATTCTGAATTTTCCTGTCTTCTATTTTCTAGTTTATTTTTTAAAAGTATCGAATATCCTATTGGTTGAAATTCACTAAGAAATTCGTTTTTTAAATCTCCCCATGTCCAATCTTCTCTTATATTTTCTAAATTTTCCAAAAAGGAGTTGGCTGTGTCTTTTAAAAATATTGACAAGAATTTTATTTTTTCTTTATCGTCCCAATTATTTACTTCTGCTGCTTTTTCATATTGTTTAAAAAAAAATTTAATATCCCCTTGTCCGGAAAAGCTATCTGGTTTTATTACCATATATTTATTTAATGAGCCTTGGTTAAACATGTTTGGTGTGTTGCGTGTATATGATGGTTGATTTAATATATTGTTTTTATTATTTTCTTCGGGTTTATTCCCTTCAAATGGGACTGTAGTATTTTCAAGATTATTGGTAGTATCTAAATTTATTAAATTATCAGATTCGGAAAAATTTATTTCGGTTGAATTTAATATATCCTGAGCTTTATTTGAATATAGGTTAACACTATTGTTTAAATTGTCAAATAATTCTAAGCTATCTAATGTTGTGTGGAGGAGTTTATTTGTGAGTTCTGTATTTATTTGAGAGGTTTCAGGACTTAAATTGGGTAGGCCTATTTCTTTTTCTATTGTTCCAAGATCAATTTTTTCGGCTATTGATTTATTTATAATTTTTATACGTTCCTCGTTGCTTAGAGTATTTTCTACGTCGTCTGGGTTTAAAATGCCTTTTATGTACCTACTAAGTCTAGATCTTAAATCGGATGATCTACCTGCTGAATTTAATTTTTTTGATTTACAATATTTTATTAGATCTTCTTTTTTTAGAACGTAAATGTCCGTAGCTTTATTAATAGTAATCGAGATTTCCGACTTTGTATCTTTTAAATCATTCATCAAGGCATAAAAATTAGAATATTTATTATTTATTATAAGAATTGTTTATCTCTCTTTCTTTTATTATTATCGTTAATATGTACCTTTGTTTCCGGACTGTGGTGATTTTTCTTTGGAGTTATATTGAAGACCGCTATGCTGCTTTTTTTTTTTTTTTTTTTTACACTTTATGGACGGCACATGTATTTATTCACTACGTTTACACTCAAATTAAATTTAAAAAAAAAATTCAAAAAAAGTTTATAAACGCGAACAAAAATAAAATAAAACAAACAATGTTTCGAGGTAATCCCGTGAAGTATCGAGCCTATGTTGGGCGCCACTTTGTCGTATACGCCACGCAAAGGCTTGACGTATATAACAGATATATTTCGGTTTCCGATTCTCTAACCATCGAACGAGTAAATTATCGACACCTGCTGTATGAGTTTAATTTAAGTTCTCCTTTTGGTGACCACGATAACGAGTACTGCGCAATAGGATAATTAAATAAAAGTCCAGCAGGATTTACACTATACAACTCTAAGGATATTTTACTCCCGAACAACTGACCACGATAACGAGTACTGGATGTTCGAGGGTGAGGTATCTTTTACCTAGACAAAGTCTTACTCTTTCTCGACTGACCACGATAACGAGTACTGGACGAGAAAGTAAGTACCACAGTGTCTTACTACCTGTTTTTAAAAGTGTTATTCACCACAACGTCTCTGTATCAACTCGTAAGATAAAAATATTCTAAAAAGAGGCGTAAAGAAAAACAGTGACACTTGGTTTTTTAAAAAGAATTAAATATAATAAAATATATCAAAAATAAATAATAAAAGAAACGTAAAAATACTGCAGCTCGCTGGCTACTACAATGAGCGAAACGAACAAAACAACCACCCCGCTCCCGTCGCAGACGTCGCCTTAAGTAGTTGTGGCAATTTTGCTGACTCGGTTTGATTGACTTTCTGCTTCGTATTTTATTTTCATATTTTATAATTTCGTTATATATACAACAGGATGGTTATAAAGATATATAGTTGCATTTATTCAAATAACGCATATAGATACATAGGAGCGACCAAGTTTCGATGACACGTACAATATATAAGGAAAATCATCGATAGCATTGATCATTGATATAATAGAATTAATATATGGTCGGAAAAAACCAGCGAAAAGGGGTACTTGTATAATATAAGAGAAATGGAATGATCAAACGCACACAAATTAAATCTACTTAATATACATTGAAACTTTCATATTCCGAAGTCTCATGGTCAACAAATAAAATTCGTACTACCCATAGAGAATTTCGTTAAATAGAATTTTCAAAATTTGGTTCATAAACATATTTCGTCAAATAGAAATTTTTTTAAATGGAAGTTTGTCATATGGAAGTTTCACTGTATTTATATACTGTGGTTACTGGTTATTCATTTTTATAGGGATTACAAATTACAGCGGAGGTTGTAAATTTATTCAGATATTGGCTATTGCATTATTTTGTTAATGCTAAATTATTTATTGTTTGAGTTGATTTCGTTTGAATTACAAATAGTTATTGTACTAATATACGTATACTATACTATGTACCTACCCATAAGTAGTAATTTGAATAAACATTATAGGCTTAATGATTACAATATTGTAATGGGTATAGACTATAGACACTTATTAAATATTTGTTTATATTTTAAATACCTGTCAATTGTCATTAACATTCATGTTCGCATAAAAAAAAAAAAAAAAAACGAAGTGTTTCTAATAGAAGATAGTCTTGTCTGAAATCTAATTTCAAAAAGTCAACAAGAGAATATTACAATATCAACCTATAGGTCTTATAATATAATAATATATTAATTATCGAAAGACTATTGAACATTAAATTGTTCCGAAAACGGCGTACGGTATATATATAATTTGCCGCTGGTACGACTATATGATAACATGATATACAATACACCTGTATACGATTATAATGCCTGCCACTGTTACACGCACATATACATATTAATAATAATACATTATTTATTTTGTATTGTATATCGATACGAATACCGACTTTGTGCGGTTCCCAGAAACGATCCTCCGAACGCATGCGCGTCCACTCGCGTTTGGCGTATAATTGTTATACCTACGATGATAATAATACGTCGTCGCACACCGGTCCGATAAATCAAACTCTTTGGTCGTCGGGCGACGGGCACATAATATTATCGTACCTGGTGTACAGGGCGTGTTTTCGAGCGGCAGTCACATAATATTAATATTATTATTATTATTTTTTATTTGCGAAAGCCACGGTCGCCGCGTGCACGGATCAGCTGTACCGTGGTACGTATGTATAGCCGAGGACGGACGAGTGTTATTTGTCGCCTCCGATTGGAGTTTCTTAGTGGAAAGTATTATAGAATAATAAGAATTATTTTTTTTATTATTGGACTTAGCCCGGCGAGTCTAAGGCCATTAGCTGTTGTAGGGGCTATGAACTGTGGTAGGGGTAAGGTCGGTACGGTAGTAGGTTTCTTATACGATTGTTACGGTAGGTGGCAAACACGTGTATGCGTGGCAAGATTTTTAACTACTATGAATCCTGGTGGTCACCCATCCGGGATCTAGTAGCTGTGGCCGTTACTTATACTCCTAGTCGCATTCCGCGACTGGTAGCAGCCAACGCGCCACGTCAAGTGATAATTTTTAATAACCTACAAAAATAATATGATATACTACAATAAGAAAGGTACATGAGTAGCCGTGTCCTAGTATTTCAGATGTCTTTTGTGCTCCGAGCCGAAGACTTAAAAGTATATAGGTAGGTACCTTGAGTGGTAAAAGGAAATGTATCTGGTAACACTTAGTGTTGTGCAGTATTATGTCGAAAAGAAACGCGTATGAACCTATTTCAAAAGCAATCTAACTCGATTCGGATACGTATTATAATAATTGTACGATATTTAACATTATATGAGTACCCACCTACCTGCGTTTATGTATGACGAAAAAAGTAACTAATATCAAGTTACCTATGATGACGAAAATAAGTTGCACACAACACGCGTAACACAGTCACTAACATTTTAACATGACTTTAGTTGTCATCATAATAGTATGTGCTATGCATGCAGCCTTGAGTGCCACGAGACTTTAACTGCAGGTGATGTACATGGTGTATTTTCGAACTGGGATCTCATAAACATTTATGCGAACCTACACGCGCTAAACGTCTGCGATGGGTACTCGAGGATGGGCAAGTTTGCCGATTTTTGTAACTCGTCAATAGGGAAGTAGCTACTACATATATAATGTATAAAAACAAATGTTGTTTTATGTTTCAAACAGAGTAGTAAGTTGTAAAAGGAAATGTATAGGGTATTACATATTATTGTATATTATGTCGAAAAGAAATGCGTGCCTATATTATTATATTTTAAAAGTATATTTTACTTAATCCTGCAGATATTAATTGAATAGCGCATGAAACTAATAAAGGTACCTATTCTTACATTTATATTAAATTGTATGATGAAAAAAGTAACAAAAAAGTTATTAAGTTAAAAGTTATATTATATTACAATAACAGAAATAAGTAACTGACCTAACTTTATTATAGGTATAGTAACATTTTAACACGGCATTCGTTCATAAAACGTCCACATGTCATTACATGCTATACACATAATTCAGCCTATTGAGTCTATTTGGCTGCATATGCCTAAACGCTGAGGCTATACATCCTATGAAGTTATAACTAATAACTATGCACCTATCACTATACCACCTGTAATCTGCATAATACTGTTTAATATTTCCGGTCCGAGAGAGTAAACTGTATTCGCGGAAAATCGGTATTTTATCCTTTTCGTTTACGCCCCCTCTAGTGGTATTCGTGACGCCGCCTTCAGGTAAACTTTTGATTCCGCACCCCCCTGTATAGGTTTACTGCCTATATTACATATTTATAATGCTGCAATATCAAACGTTTCATACTGACCCGGCTTTGTAGACAATCGAATTTTGATGAACGAAAACAAAGCCGCGCTGCACAGTTATATAATATGATTAATACCGGGTCTATTATAGAGCACTGTTTTTTTTAATTATTAATTAGGTACAATATATAGCAGCAAATATTGTGCTTAATGACAAGAAGATGTGGAAAATGAAGGAAAATCTTTCTGAATAAAAAATATAAACCATGATGATATTATTATGTTATAGAGATCAAAATGTTTGGCCTAATGCGGTTACTATTTTTATAGAATATATTAAAAGAACATAATATATAAATCCAAGTGAGCGCGTATAGCGGTAATAAAAATATGTATAATACCTATTGGTGTCTACCTATATTATAATTTACCTAACTATATATTATTGTTATGCTGAAATATGTCAAACCAACCGCGGTTTACGATTCGTGATTTCAATATATACTTAAACGTACTATATATATATAATACGGCAATACTGCGTGGCGCACACGAATCACCCTGTATATATTGAACCCCCTCGAGCGGTCGACCTTGCAGTGCCGCCAAAAAAAATGTCTCCCAGTGTTTGTATATAATATAATATAAGCGCATATTATTTATACGATGATTGACAACGGCGGCGGCGGCGGTTAACGTTCAAGATTTCGACTCGGACCGTGTATCGTGTACCTATATGCAGTATATACCTACACATGTGTGTGTGTGTGTGTGTGTGTGTGTGTGTGTGTGTGTGTGTGTGTGTGTGTGTGCATATTGTGTTATGCCGTTTTGGGAAAGGGAATTTTCGCGGCGCCTTGCTCGTCTCCAAAGAACGAATGCGGTAAAAAAACAAAAAAAAAAATTCCACCGTATTAAAAAATAAAAATAAAATAATAGTGAATAGTTATACTGTTATTGAACAATATATATATAATGTTCTATATAGGTAGTATAAATATATATACACATATACGCACTGTAAATATAATAAAATGCGTAAGCCAGGTAGCCCATTATCCGATATATATAATATTATTTGTAAGCTGTCGGGCGAAACGACAATGGGAAAATATTTACGACGTCATTAATTAATAAGTCGTCGTGTATATACGCAATGCATACATATATATATATATATATATATATATATACAGCCATGATACAGGTATTGGCGGTATTGCGTATAACAGAGGTATTTTATACCTATATATTATACCTATACCTATATAGGTTCTGTGCAGAGAGCAAAATGTAAGAAGTATTTTATATAGTTTAATTTATTCGGGTATAATTACAATTAGACCTTGCGCTATAATTAGGCGCACACAGGAACATTGCAGTTCATACCTAAACGTAATTTTTGAAATAGTTCAAAAATGTCGGTAGACCATATTATCATAATATGTTGCTAAATTATAAGATTTATACTTAGTATAATATTGTACCATGAAACTAGTGCATATACAGTATAATGCGTATGGAATAACTTTCAATTAAAGGTCATTATTAATTATAGTCATAAATATGTAAAATGTATATACACTCAAGTTGCGCCGTTATTATTGTGTTTATTAAATGCGTACGTTAAGTGTATTTTAATATAATATGCATTATATTATACACTACTGCAGTATCTTGGGAATTTATTTTATTTTATTTCTTTATTTTTATTAACCCACGGCAACTTAGGCCATTGTATGGATTTTGTACTGTTGGGGAGGGTACTGTAGGTAAACAAGCGTGTTTGATAGTTTGGCAGATTTTCAAGGGGGGTACCCGTAGTTATCTGCCATGCCCGGGTGGGGGATGGCGGCACTTGTTCTCCGGACATCGTGGCTTGCCCGAAGAGAAATGCCGCCCGCAGCTGAGGTTTCGAACCGGCACCGGTGCGCGTCGCAACCGACGCCTTATTCCGCTCATCCACTCCGTCCCCCGAGAATTTATTGTATAATTTGAAAATCATTTGTAAGTTTTTATCAACCAAAATTATTGTCACTGTAGTATGTGTTAACATTTAATTGTTACTAACACTGACTATATATATACGTACATATATCTACTGGCTACTATAAAAATCTCGAAAAACCACAAAACAAAAGTATTACTACTTATTTATCGTCACAAATCATTAACAGTTATTTCTGTTCATACTATAATCCTATATATGCGAGCAGTCAAGACAAAAGGATAATGCATTAGTGTCCCTTAAGCCTGTCGAGTTTGGTGCGAGATGAACGCCAGCGAGGACTGCAGTGATCGATCCGTGGTAGACACCCTCGATTTGGCGATCGACCAAATTATCACGGAATTTGGACTACAGTCCGCGACTCACTTGTCATGGGCATCGTGCAGCACTTTTTCCGAACCTCAGCAAAGGACGACGGACCGTAAGTCCTTCTCCAGGACGGTCGAGACGCTGCACAAGCCACAAGGGTTCTGGAAAAGAACCAGAAACCTCTTGGAAAACGTGTTCCGAGTGGTCTGTTTTCGCGTCTCCGCCACGGGCCGCGAAAATTAAAACGACATTCAAAAGACGTTCCCAATGTGCCACCACCATTTCAGTCCGTTTGTGGTAGTTAGGTAGGTATATCTTCTGATGTTTTTAAAATATTGATGTATTACCGTTATGTTTTAAGATACCTTTAATTGTGTATCGTGTATTTAGGTACCTACTATTAATTGAAGTTTAATAATTAAAATAAAAAATATATCCAACAAATTTAGCTATATGTTTTTCATATGGAAATAAAAAAAATTAGATAACTTTTATAGTTATAAATTATACACCGTAATTCAATAATATTATGATACACCTTAAATGTGCTGTAAGAACTAAGTCGAAGTAAATAGTTTAAAAATAAAAGATTTAGGTATTTTATTATAGGAAGATAACAAAATTAATAAAAACAACATGAAATGGTTAGTATAATTTGTATTGAACTTTAAATTATCTCGATTAAAATTTAAAATCAAGATCGAACTATATAGGTATATTATAGGTGAACAAAAAATGTAGGTATATTACTTATGTAGAAAAGTACGATAGAATATGAATAATTGTTTGGAGAACGTACTGCAATATGGTACTTTCTAAAATCTATACAAACCCTATATATACCAACTACCTATAACATCTATTAAAAGAAAAATGAGAATTTACAATAATTAAATAATTTGACAATAAGCTAAACAAGAATATAGTGAGACGGGCCCATGGCATAATAGCGTATACTTATACTTCGGACATAGGTACACCGAACCATAGATCCTCGTGCTGAAGAGCTGCAGGGTTGGAATAGCTCTATATAGCCATAGGCACAAATGGGGGGGCTCAGCCCCCCCCCCCAAAAAACCTATAGAACATACAATTTTAATATGTTAAATTGCAATGGTCTGCTTGCCTTTAATATATTCAGCCCCCCTCAAAAAGTCAAAAGTTGAAATTGCGCCTACGTATTGTATATATAGCACGGCCCGGGCAAAATAATTTCGAACGGCCTCAATGAAACTTTATAAGTATAATAGGTATACCTAATAAAATGTTTGTTAACTGAAAATGTATTTTCATAACTCAATAAAAAATCTACCTTTATATGTTATATAATGTTATATTATAGGTACATATGAATATTTTCAGAAGTCCATAACCTATTTATTTTATTTTGATTCAAAAAAATGTAATAAATAATATCTTAATACACCATAGAAAATAATTAAATTTAACTTTCCAAAAGATAACATAAATTCATTTTTAACTAGTACTTGGCTTCTTTATACATATATAAATATATTTAAAAAAAAAAAGAAAAACTTAAAAAACTGTAAGCATGTGTATTGTGTATATTTATTAATTTTATACTACTAATATACTTTTTAATATTGAACTTTGTTGAACAACTTCATTAGTTATGTCTTCGGATGAAAGAGATTCTAAAATATTTTTGTTTAAATTCATGATTCATCAGCATCCAAGCATCCAAATTATCCATCGACAAACGATTTCTTATAATCGAGTTTTTATAAATGTTAAAGTTGAAAAACTTCTATCGCAAACTAAAAAAAAACGAAAGTATACCTACAGTACAATATAGTCACGATTTTCACAAGCAGCATAAATTGTCCACAAGCATGTTGACGCGTTTGTTAATATAATAACACATATAAACCAATTCAATAGGTGACAATCAGGACTTAAAATATATACAAGGTTATTGCACATAGTCCATATTGTCATCGAACAAAAATAAAATGGCAGCGTAAGGGCACAGTCCATATCTTGGTAAATTTCATAGTATAGCCAGTATATGTAGGTCGTCCCCAGTATTGCAATAACCTTGTATATTCAAACCATGGTAACAATATGTAACAAAAACTTTTATTTGTGTAAATCATAAATGCATTTGGCGGTGTTGGTATAGTAATCTTATATTCTAGTAAACATTTTTTTTTGAACTAGAGTTCGTGAGGTTAGGTTAGGTTATCATATTATAAACTCTTATCACAGAACATACCAATGTCATGCGCAACAAAACAAGCGTCTGACGAAACGCTATTTGTCCTATTCCACATCGACCTGCGCTTAGGTTTAGCCGAGGCCTCTATTACCGGTTGTCATGCATCACACCGGCGGGCTTCGGTTGGGTCCTGCAGCAAACTCGCGGCGTGCACCGTTGTCTGCAGAACGTGAGCTATCGTACGGAAGTCTCCTAACTCGGATGACTCGATAAAATCTCATGACGAGACGTGTTTTATGTCGAAAACAGCACATGGATGTTCGGCACCGAACTGCACGAACGCCGTCTCGGTTGGTCCACGAAATCGCGGCTTGCCTGCTGCGGCGATGAGACGGGCGGCCGAACCCTCTGCGATTGCGAAGATACCGACGGCCAAGATACGGATGGTGAAGACTTGGGCAGGTGAAGAGTCGGACGCCGACGAGACGGATATCCATATAATGACTTCGGTGGCAATGGGCGTCATAACTGCCTCGATCGCCAACGAAATGTGAAACCTGAACTCCGGATACTTGCATAATATTAGCCACGATGATTTCGGTCGGGCCACTTGACGGCTCGATCAAAGCCGTAACTCGCCGAGTCGTTGGCAGGCTGTGAGTCGATCGTCACCGCGACTTCTGCGTCGAAGCGTCAGACGGCTGCATCACCCGCAGAAGCCGTCTGTACCGCTATATGTTCGGCTCTGAACTGTACCGTCTTAACGTCGGGCCAGCGAAATGACCGTCGACGTGATTTTGCGACAATTGTGGGTCAATTTTGAGGCTGGAGATATAATCTCGACTTCAGACGACTTAATATCCTCAACTTCTGCGATATTCGACATGGTAGTAGGCTTTTTTAATATTATATACCAGAAAAGCGTGTTATACCTTTCAGAAAAATACTTTTGGCCCAGCGCTTTTGGGGATTTCCACTTTACCACCCACTGGACGGAAAAAGGTTGCTTTCCAACGCTTCAATCGTTATCGAAAACCAAACTTCCGGTTCAGGAGTGACAAAAACATATTTTTGATTCATAGATTTTCTTTGAGAGGAAAAATATCGAGTATTTTAACCGATTTTATATCACTATAATACCTCTATATGTTTTAAAAATTATAATTGTAATGTTAAATATTTTAATTTTAATTCATCATTCATCAATAATGGGATAGTTGATATTATAATCTAGTGCATACGTCACAATGATGATTGATAATTGTTGTATAATATGATACCATTGATTTTAGTATAGGTATTCTAAAATAAACGGTATGATACTAAGGTACCTATAATGATTTGATTGATATAATATATGTACCTCTTCCTATAGTATTTAATATGGCTTAGGTATAACAATTATAGAAATAATACTATATAATAATATTATAGGTAAGTCTAATACGTCTATATAATATGAATACCTATGTAATATATATACTGTATAATCTAATTTAATATAATTATAATAGGTATACGCCTGCACTATTGCTATATAATCTAGGACATGAGTATACCTGTACTTGCTATAATATATACGAGTAGTTAATTTTTGATACAAAGTGCATGTATACATTAAAATTATTGTGTTACACCAAAAACAACGTGTAGGCAGGTACTTATATATACTAGCTGTAGCATTTTTTTTTATAGAAATTACCATTTTAAGTTTTCATAAAAAAAAACTTATAAATTATAACGATGTAGCTGTGCAGCTTGAGCAGTAATAATGTAATATACCTACAAGTATCATTTTACTGTGCGTCTATTATATTGTAATAGTATACATCGAAAATCGAAATATAAGTAGGTACCTACCTCTTCTCTACTTATTCGTTCCACACGGTTATATCGCGCGCGGGACGATGAACAAATATAAAATTATATTTTATAAATTATATATAAAAAATACATCGTGTAATTTGCGTCACAATAATAGTCGGGTCATACGCAGATTGATATAATGAACTGAATCAATGGTTATATATATATATATGGTTATACGTGTAAGGCATTATATATATATATATATTATATATATATATATAGGTGCGTAATTCCTACCTATAATCTGAAAAATTGTCATAATTCGTTGCGAACGCAGAAAAAAGAAAAACGAAAAAAAATCGTCGGTTATAAGTTTATAATATATATATACCTATAATGTCCGTTTTTCCGGTGACGGCGGTAATTCTCGAAAATCTCCCGTGCAATATAAAATCATTTGTTGTGGGATCTAAATAATATGCAAGAGCTGGCGGCTAGAGCGGGGTTAATGACAAATAAATAAATTTTATAAATGAAAAAAAAAAATGACGATAATACCCGCGGCCGGGCCGGGACACGTCGAATAATGCTCGGGAAATCGCGGGTAAGTGAAAAAAAAACACAACACGAAAAAAAGAACACGGAAATCGCTATTGGGTGACCGATAACACTATACAACGGTATATATGTATACATCTGATATATATATATATGTGTGTGTAAATATATAGGGAATTATTCACGGATAGCGGCGCAGGACGATGTGCGAGGAGACGCTAAGCACTGCGTTAAAAATCGGATTACGATTTGATCTGCGTCGTCGATCGTCAATGAATATACAGTATAATATAGGTGGCCCCCGTGTATATACCTACAACAGGTATATTATAATGTATAGATTATAGGTGCATTGTTTACGCGATTTATGGACACAACGACAAGACATTGTAATGGAGCAGTGACGACGGCGACGACGACGGCGCGCGAATATAAGAAACCGAACAAACCGCGACTGGCGAAAAAAAAAATACCTATACCGTAATAATATCTGCACCGACGGAAAAAGATATACCCAATATGATTATAATAATAATATTATTGTTGTGTTCGCATTAAAGGTTTATGACGTAAAAGAGTGGTCGCACCGCAGGGAGAGGGGGGGGGGGGTCACCGTGACCGCGGGTCCGGTTAATAGGCCGTGTGACTTATTCTGCTGCTGCAGCAGCCGGCCGCCGCCGTTGGTCAGTTGCCCAAA